TCTGTTGCCATCAATCAGGCTCATCTCTTCCTGGGTTCACGCAATTTCTTCCTGCCTGGTCAGTCACCCCTTAATCACCCATTCTGATGCCACCATTCCATTCTCCACTTTGCAGACAGAGAGTAGTTTTTTGAGATGCATTATGATACTGTCATTTCCTCCTTGAAACCTTCCAATGACTTCTCATTCTTCTCAGGATAAGAAAATATTCTTCAGCTTAACTCAGAGTGCTTGTCCTTCTTCAGCCTCTCTGCCTCATCCAAATCACATCCATCCTCCCCCTAGAGATGTTTTGTGAAGAAATGGATTTGCCATGATTTGTGAAGATGGAAATTCATCCCTGGATTTCTCTTTCGGACTTTCTAATCAACATAATGGATGCTGCTGAAAAAAAAAAAAAGTAGGAGCTCTTTTGGCCAAGATACCATCTTGCAAAAGAAGAATGGATGTAGTTGGATAGCTATCTAAACTTTCAAAGCTGGAGGAATTGCTCCTGCCACCAGCAGTCTAGAGAGGTAACACCTCTCAATTTCTCTGCAGCAGAAATGGTTGCTGCCTAGAAATCCTGTAGGATGATTTTGAAGATCAATTTTTTTCAAGACAATCTCACACTTGAAAGGTGGATTTGTAATCTTTTCCTGCTGACTCAGGGAAACATCAGTGATGCAGAGCTCGCCAAACTTACTGACAAAGGAAATGATGTAATGTGATATCAACCCTACAGATATCAAATCTTACAGAATTTTGACCCAGGCCTACCTATGCCAGAAAATATTAATTAAAGGAGCTTAGGTTTAATTTTATACTTTAATGAGTTGTTAGCACCTTTACATAGTATAAAATAAAACCAATTAGATATCATAAGTATATATGTGTTACTACATGAAAAATTAACCTGGTAAACCTAATCTTGTACTCTCTTGTATTACATAAGCACAAACTGCAAGTGTAGTATGTGTGGGTGTATTTTTCTGGAAAGGAGATCTGTAAGATTTTTCTTTTTTTTTTTTTGCTTTTTGAGGTGCTAAAGATTGAACCGAGGGCCTCATGCATGTTACACAAGCACTCTGCCACTGAGCTACTTCCCTCAGCCCCAAAACCAAAATCTGTAATTGTAATCAGTTCTCTAGGGAGTTTCTTCATTTATAAGTGTTGAAACCAGCACATTATGTAATAAGGCCTCTTTCAGTTCTAAAATTACATAAATCTTAAAGTCTAATGCCAAATTGGTGATTTTTTTTGGAAAATTTAGTGACTATCCACATCCTTTTTATTTTCATTGTTAAATATCTGCCTGAAAAATATTCCAGTTTTTATCCAGATATTTGGTGTCCTGTGAACAGAGACAATGACTTAGGTATAACATTGACTCACATGATTGTGTGAGGCTCCTGATTTTCCCTGTGTCTGAGGTGTATACATCTAAGGTCAGCCTGAAGGAAGGGTGTCAAGGCCCCACCAAGGCAGGAAAGAGGAAGAATTCATAGATGATCCATAATTTTTAACCAATAGTCAACATCTGCCTCTCACCCAATTGAAATCTCCCTGATTGTAACAACCGAAATGCTAGGGCAGCTGAATTGGACACCTACCTGTTAACTCCCCATGCAGTCCAGTTCTGGAAAGTAAGGGAGGGAAAGTGGGTGGTAATGTGTGTTTCTCTACATAGAAGGTATCTTATTGATCTAAACACTTGCACAGGACAGGAAGAGGTCAGGAGAAAAGCCCAGACCCACACTCAGCACCATTCCAGGGGCATAGGAGTGGTTTGTACTTAAGACTTCCTATTTGGCTGTAGGCTGTAGTTACCACTGCAAAAATGAATGATAAAAGATTTAGAATTGGAATGCCAAGGAGTTTTAACCACAGATTATTAAAAGATGACCATTTTTTATTCTCTTTGGGGGGGGGCATTTTATGAAACCACTGCCACTATGTAAGTTTGCACTATTGATCCAAGAAGTTTAAATGCTTTCTATACAATAACTTAGCATCCACACCAATTCCTGACTTCTTTGTCAAGAAATCCTTTGCTGCTTTGGTTTTTCTCCAATACGAAGTGAATATTGGAACTTCTTCTTTTGTACCTAATAAAATTCCTTTGACATCAAACTGGAGAGCTCAGGTAGAGGAATAACTTTAGTGAACAATGCACTTTTCGCTTATCCTTTGCAGAACAACACTGGGTCCCAGTCATGCAATTCCTGGCTGATTTAGGGTCTGAGATCATGTCCTGAGTCACATCTCTCCCTGCACTGTTCAGTGGTACCACTGGATGGGAATCTAAAGGGACTGTCGAAAATATTAAATATCACAGGGTTTGAATTGGGGTAGGTTGGACTCTTCACCACTGATCCGTTTTTCAGTCTGAGGCTTTATCTACCTGACAGGAAGATTTGAACTACTGCCATTTCTAAATTGTACTTCTAAATATTGACTTAATGGTGAGACTCAAAGTGTCATAACACAGCTCACTGGAGCAAGGAAAATTTTCCAGGCCTCATCAAGAGGTCTGTACAATGTCTCCGGGGGAGTAAGGATGGATGAGGAATATTGAAGAAGAAAAATAAAATCAAGTAATGTTTGGAAGAAGTGCCGCTGTGCTTCACTTAATGTTGCAGAGAAAAATGAGCACCATGGGGCTGTTGTCAGAGGCTGGAGGTGACGAAGTTGGAGAAAGAAAGAACAGCATTAAACCATTTATCTCTCAACCATTTACTAGGAGGAATGAGAGTTTCCAGGGGACCGCTGGCTGGGCTGGGAAGAAGTAACAACCAACTCTCAAAGACCTGTTACTTGGGTATCCAGATTTGAAGGACCAGACAGTGTCTAAAAAACAAGAAACTTTTCATAAAGACTTCAACACAGCCAGACCTTTACCTAATCTTCATTTAGGTCACTGTGGAAATTCTAGGAAGCTATCACTTTAGCTTTTCTCCTCGTGATTGTTAACACTGCAATTGGTCTTAAGGCATTTTTGTCACTTTACATTAGCTGCTGAACTGTGAATCAAAGGAAGTGATTGGCCCCTTCCTGCCCTTCAGGAGGTGTTTTGGAGGAGCAATGAGATATTTTAAATGCAAATTAGCTTTGAGATTCATTAGATTCTCGGTGATATATAAATTCATGTTCTCCAAGATGAGAGAAAGCATAATGCTCTGTGATACTGCAGAGAGAAGTTTACCACATGGCAACTTTCCCTCTTCAGGAGCCCCCCCCCCCCCCGTCACAGCATTGGTATCCATGACTGTGCAAAACCACACAGATAACTGATTCTATGTGGATGAGGCATGTGAAGTATTGGGGGTTGTCTGTGGGGGAGGTGCTTTTCAGAGGATGAAGAACTTAAGTTATAAGATATAGCAAGTGAAACTAACCAAGATATTATGGAAGGTAACCCCTGTGGTATTGTGGCAATATTCATTCATCTTGGTAATCCTTTAAAGTGGTTTTGGTTGCTAAAGCAATATTCTTAATCTGTTCCCTCTCCTAAGTCCATACCTATGACCCCTTGTATTTGTTGACAATAATGCTTCTAAGAATGAACTCGAAGTGCAGCAAAATCTTTAGAGTTTAGAACTCATCACAATGGGCTCAGTCATGAGTTTGGTTCATCTAGTTAAGTCTCATTAGATTGGTCCAGGCTCTGATTTGCATCCTTAATCTGACTCTGTGGGAAATTAAGTCTCAATTTGAGATTAAACAGTCCTCCTAAACCTTTTCCTTTCTCAAATGCTTCTTGTATGAGCCTAGATAACTGCTATAGACAGAACTCCAATTGTCTTCAGAATTCCCAGTGTCCCTGCTCAAACTACCTCTGCTAGCAGAGCGAGTCTGTGTCTGTTTTTGTGCTGGGTTTTGACATTGCAGCCTGCTCTGGCCTTCCTGAGCTCACCTACGCATACCTATCACTGTCCTGTGTCCGTTTTCATGGCTCCCATCACAGCCTGGATGTGGGGTGCTTTCTGTGTCTATGCTTCTCTGAGAGCTAGCACACCCTTGGGTGCCCTGAGTAGCTCTCCATGTGGCCACCTATATACAGCCTCGTCCAGACTGCTGCTGAACCCCTCACCGTCCATGGGGACCATCTGTGCTTTAGACTTGCTTACTCATTCTTTTCCCCGTTCTTCCTATCCATGAAGGCCTCCCTTCCCCGTAACCCACCACATTTTCACAATTCCCTCGGCTGTCGCCACCCTCCAATGAAAGCCATTGAGATCCCTTCAGTGTCTTCTTTCCATATCCTACTCGGCCGCTGTTCAATTTATTTTCTCATTTCTTCTAGCTCTTCCCTGATATCTTTGTCCAAAATGGCAACCATCAGTTTTACAACATTAAGGATTAGGAGAAAAGTGCTTTTGACCATGTGCACGGAGAAATCAAATTGTCTACCACCTACTGAATGAGTGAATTCCACCATGGTAAATTGATAATTTTGTTAGCACTGAATCCTCTCATCCTTAATGAAAGATATTAATTACAAGGATGCAAGTATCCCAAGGAGTTCTCACAGTAACCAAAAAGTTTACATGACTATTTCCCTTATTGCAGTAAGTAAAATAATCTCTTTTCTTAATGATAGGATATATAAGAGGAGTCTTGGTACAAAAGGGTCTTCATTTAATGCACAACCAAAAACTTATGAAGTCTTTGAATTCTCTTTTCAATATTGTAGGGGAGTTCCAATATCTATATAAACAATACACCAAATTATTTTGTAAAAATCAACAAACATACTGTAATTGATGTCTGCTATTTATCTAAACTTTTCAAATGAAAAATGCATGATATATGGCAGCAATATTATCAAGTCGAAGCAAACAAAGAATGGCACTGTGCAAAACAAAAATTTAAGACATTTAAGACTTTTCTTAAATCAGGATCCACTTTTGAAATCATGGCATGGCCTTTAAACAAGAGCTCTGCATTGCTTTCCCATGAAGACTCCATAGTGTTTTACATATGGAAGACTGGAGGGTGCTGGAGGTCAACACACTCACCTGGCCAGTAATACATGTAGACCTTCCTTTTGGCCTTGGTCAGAGTGATCCACAGAGGCTCTGATCCATTCCACCAGAGAGGCAACAGGCTATCTCTGTTGACACCGATGTCAAATGACTTATTAGTGGTGGGATCCCACATGTAGTTGCCAATCATCTGATGGACTTCACAATGGCGGCCTGAATTAATGAGAATACAAAACTGTCAGATTATTGTGGGTTTTCTTGAGGTTTTTTTTCCTGAACATAAAAGCAACCCATACTTACTTTGGAAGTATAGAACATCATCAGGATTTTCTTTTGATTTTTCAAATTATAGATTTTTCTTCTTTCCTAGACTGTACTATAAAAACAAACAATCCGAAGAGATGTCCACTAATTGACTAAGGGTGGGGTCACATTCAGAGAAGCCAGCCTGGCAAATGTGAGCTGTTTTAAGTTATAATGAGGATGTTGTTGTTTGTGGAGTTTGGCTCTTTGTTCATGCCTTGACACCTAAATACCAATCAGTATAGAAATCATTGATTTCTGTGAGACTTTGGGTATGTTCTCACCCCAGAGCTCTCTGAACCTCTTCCAAACCCTCCTCCCACAAGCTGATCTTGTGTTTATTCTCTTCTTTCTAGAGTTAAAGGAGTTATTTCTTCAGTGCTGAACAATGATGCAATCTATGACATTTGGAATAGAATGGTGAACAAAATAGATTCAACTTTGAAAAACAAAGCCAGAAAACAACCCTCCTAATGGAGTGTTATATAGAAACAAGGGTTGGTTCTTTTGGGTACAGCTTAGTCCCAGAAGAGAAGCCAGAAATGAAAGATGCAAGTGCTTGGACTCTTTCGAAATATTAGGCTTAAATTATTTATTTTGGAGCAATCTGTTACATCTTTAAAGTAAAAATAACACAAACATTGGCAAGTGCCTCAAAATTTGCTGCAATTTTAGTGAGCGTCACTTGGCACCAGCATGAAACATGCTTCACCAAACTCCCTAACTATGCTTAATCAAAGTGGCTTTTTTTGTTTGTTTTCTGTTTTGTTTCTTTTTGTTTCCCCCTCACCAACACTTTATTTTTAAACAAATACAAAGAGAAAACATAAAATACAATTTAGAAAATTTGGACACCAAAAAGCATAAAAGAAAAACTTTTTATTTCATCACAGAAAGCAAGGCATTCCACAAACCATGCTTTGAGTTTAAAACCCAAAAATCTAAACACAATGGTTTTTACTCAAAACTGTAGGATCTTTTTGATCTTGACTAGAGCTTTATATGTGGACTAATAAAATTTTTTAAAAAACTAAAACATTGAGCAATTTCTCCAATGGTTAAGGAACTTTAATTCACATTTATTAAATGCTCATATATGTACAGTCATATGTACTATACACTGTAACAGGTAGAGAGATTGAAATAGGAATAAATGGTTGCCACCCTGAAGTGGTTTGTAATTTAATACTCAACTGAGTGTTTTATGCAAGAAACAGGTTTCCTAGGGTTAAGGCTCAGAAGGAACCAGGTTGCAGGTGTAACTGGAGAATCATGACCATCTTCACCTACTATGTTACTGGAGATAACTCCGAATATGCACTAACTCATTAAGAAAGGACATACTTCTTATTGGTTCAAATGTATTACCTTATTTTTTACACGAAACTTCAAGAGCCCTCTTATGAGTAAAACTTCTTAATTTTTCCTTTATTCAAAATAATTCCTCCTATATCAAAAACTTCTATCATCCTAATGATGCTTGTTTACCCTTTCACAGGAAAGATAATCATGACAACATCCATTGGGAAATGTCTCCCCTTCATTTTTCCCAGTAGATCGTCTCTATCACCCTCCCAAGTGTGGAGAGCTCATCTCACCTGGAGCTGATGAGCAGAAAAACTGAAAAGAATGCAAAATTGGAAATGAGTGTGAAAGGTATTACTGAAGCTAGGGACCAAAACAGAGCCCTGAAATTAATCTTCAGTAAAGGGCTAGAAAAGGTAGGGACATCAGACACAGGAATAATAGGAAAAGTTACCCAATAGGTAGGATCTCTGCCTTCAAATTTGAACTGTTTAGAACATTTTAGATAAATGAGTGAAACCCAAATATAAGCTGGGGCCTCATGTGATGTAGTTTTCAGAAAATGCTCCATTTAAAGAAGCAGGAAGCAAGCAAAAATAATTGCTAAAGTACTTACATATCTCCCAAACCATACAGTATCATTTGGTACATTTTTCCTCCTCTCTACTCATATTCAGCATTTGAACCCCAAAATGTCCAAACTCTTAACCTTCTTGACTCCCTGCTCTCAAAGTAAAAAATGATACACAGATAGAGACAGAGGCACAGTGAGAACATTTTCCTAGAGAATTTCTATATGGTGGAGCTCTCCCACAAGAAGGTCATCTCAGACCCCTATTCAGAAAGTTGGTTCTTTTGGTGGATTGGCCTTGATTTGAAACAGAAGGGTGTATTCTTCAAAGGCTGAATTGTAGATGTTGTCCCAGTCCCAAGGAGTGTGCCTTTGTTCTGGGAAGAGCTGCCTTTCTGGAAGTCAGCAGGAGGACATATGCTCCTCCTGTCTTCTGCCCTGAATCTTCTCCCTTGACCTTCCTTCCATGCAGATAGTAAGACTTCCAGACTGCATTAGCAGTCTAAGCCTGCTCTTATTCAAGCTGATTTCCTCACCTATCCTCTCTCTTTTGCTCTTTCATTTTTATTGCCTGGGTAAAACTGGTGGCTGAAAGAACAGAACGTAACAAAACAAAACACAATGTTCTCGGTTCTGTAGCCCACAACTGCTCATCTCCGTATTCCTGCCTGACCCATCTCTATTTTTATACATCTGCAAATCTTGACTTTTCTCTGGTTGGCACTTTCCAAAGAGCTTTTACTTCAGTTTGGTTATTTGAACTTTTGCTTGAGACTTTGGTAGAAACTTTCCTGACTTCTGCTCACAGCATAATCTCAGGTGGTATTCAGGGATGAGAAGCAAAGGACAGCTCTGTGGGCTTTAGCTTCTGTGCTTCACTGTGTCAGAGGGCTCATGAAATATCTCTCGATGTAGAACTACTATATGAATGAAACTGAATATGAATTTTCATTTTTTATTTCCTAGAGTCTTATTCAATTGTGTTCTGATGTAATTAATGACCATCTCTAGAATTTTCTTAGCAAGCATGAACAACTCTGAACCACATTATACATTTGCAATAATGGCTGGCCTTCATATCCTGTTTACTCCTTTACTTCATGTACTGTTTGTATAAAAATTCACTCAACATGCCTGCTGTGGTTTGGATAGGGGAAGACCCCCCAAATAGTTATGTGCTCAAAGCTTGGTCTCCAGTGTGGGGGTGTTGGGAGGTGGTGAAACCTTTAAGAAGTCAGGCTTAGTGGGAGGTGATTCAGCCAAGGACACTCCTTTCTTAAAAGGGAATAATGTCGTGTTCACAGAACTAGTTAGTTCTCAAGAAAGCAGGTTATTGTAAAGTATGGCCACCCCATGTTCTTGGTCTCTTTGGCATATGGCCCTTTTCCCTTCTGCTTCTCAGCTATGTTGCAATGTAGATGGGAGTGGTGGAGGCGGTGTTTCTAGGTTACTGATACCATATGTTTGGACCTTCCAGTCACCCAAATCATGAGCCAAATAAACCTCTATTTTATAGGTTATCCAGGCTCAGGTATTTTTTATTATAACACAAAAAGTGCTAATTCAGTACATTTTATCAAATAATGTGTACCTGCTAGGCATATAAAGATAACAAGATACAGTCTCCATCTTAGATTGGCTTGTGGCCTTGTATGGAAAACAATATGGCACCATGTTGAGACAGGTAGGTCTCAGTCAGACTGTACAAGTTCAAATACAAGCACTTCTATTTACTACATGCATATCTCGGACAAATAGCTTAGATCCTCTAAAGCCTCAACTTCCTTATGTGAGCAATTGTTATGATAATAGCTATTGTAAAATATATAAATATACAGTATTCCCTTTGCATGCAGTGTGAGACCATAAAAATGCCCATGCAATCTGAAACCATGTAAAACTATCTTAATAATCAGTGGGAAAAATGAACATTAAAAATGTGGTCAAGGGCCAGGGATTTAGCTCAGTGGTGCCGCTGCCTGCTTCGCAAGTGCAACTTCCCGAGTTCGATCCCCAGTACCAAAAAAATATATGGTCAAAGCTGGGTATGGTGGCACACACCTGTAATCCCAGCACTTGGGAGGCTGAGGCAGAAAGAAGGACTGCTGTGAGTTCAAGGCCAGCCTGGACTACATAGTGAGATCAAGGTGAGCCTCAACTACATAGTGAAAACCTGTCTCAAAAAAACATGGTCAAAATATTAAGAGTTTTCTTACTGTCAGTTACAACTAGTATATAGAGAAATGAAGACACATAATAAAACAATGAAGTACTAGTATATTGTAATTTCAAACAGAGAATTAGAGTTTTATTTCTTAGTCAAAAACTTAGCAAAAATGCCTTGAACAGTGTTTGCTTTCTTCTTCTATAGTATAACACAATACGAATGAACATTGTATGCTTTGGTGAATTGTCACACTCTAAGCTTAGATTAGCTTCCAAAATTTTATCCTTTGTGCAATCAGTGCCATGAAATAAATTCAAGAGTTCCTTTAAAGTGAAGTCTTTTGCTGGTATCACTTCCTCAGGGACATCTTCATCCTTTTTGTCACAACCACTTTTCTCTTCGTTATGTGCCCATGAGAGCTTCACATGCAGAAAGTGTGGTCCCAGTGTGCAGGCATGGAGGTGGCACAAACATTAAGAGATGGGGTCTAGTGGAAGTCAACAAGGTCATGGAGGCTCCATCTGATAAATGGATCAATGCTGCCTCATGGAAGAGGGTCAGGTCTCCTGAGACTGGATTGGTTCTCAAGATAGTACCTTGTTGTGAAGTGACAACACCCCTTGCCTTAGCCCCTTCTACATGTGGTTATTTCCCTTTCCACTTCTATATCATGTTTTAAAAAAAATTTATCAGTACATATTTGCAGTACATGCATCTTACAATCATCTTAGGGAGTTGGCCCATGTACATAACACAGCATATTTCCTTTTTAATCCCATTCCTTCCCTCCTCCTCTAATTCCCTTATCCCTCTTTTCATTCTCATTGATATTATTAATCTTAGTTCATGTTTATACCATATAATGTC